AGTCAATACACGAGCCAGCTGTGATTCTACACTCCTGAGGAAATCTAGCAGTCGAGCTTGGGGTGAAGAGTTCTTGCTTAGCTAGAGAGGATACGACCAGAGGTCATTGAACTAACTTATAACCCGCTGATGACGCCCAATTCCTTTGGTCGAGCATAGTTTCTAAGATGTAAAGTGTAAGCTTCTCCTTGGAACTCTCCCAAAGAACCTACCTCTACAAACAAACTTGTAGATGTAATACTGATGACGAAGCAGCTCTGAAATTCTGGGTTTGCAAGCTTTTTGCAAAGAAAGAATCCGAGACAGTCTAAAAGGGAATGTTTGAACAGTGTTGATCGATTCAATGCTGACTTAGGTCAGTGTTAAAGCAAAAAACAAGAAATGTCAATATTCGGATAAAACTGTGTGGGAGTCCTGCAGAAAATTGATCGACTATCAAGTGCCGTAGCAGTTTTTTTCGAACATTTTTAGGCAAAGATCGAGGTCAGTTCAGGGCACCTGCTTCTTTAAGCGCACTGATGTTGTAAGCAGAGAGTGAAAAAGTCACAAATTTTTTCTGAGCACTACTTTCCGGACCAAACTCCTAAGTCAATCTTCTGTGGGTTGGACAGGAAGCCCCTAGGTTCGCTTGACAACGGGCGGCAACCAGTTAAGGCAGGTCTCAGGGGATTATTCTGAACCCGTTGAAAAGTAGGGGGCAATCCGGTGTCGGGGACGTGGCGTATCCAGTAGCATAATAGAGGCGATATTCAAGTCTCAGAGAATGTCTTCAGGAAAATCTCAATGCGGTCAGTGGAGAAGAGACTTTGAAGTGAAACGTAGAGTGTATATAAGGATGAATGAATTGGGAAAAGGGGAGCATAATGTCCTCATATTGAACCCAGACAACGAGCAAACACAGCCAGTACAATGGTGACAATGAGGGTTTTAAATCTCATTGTTGACGTAATTGATTTTTACAGATACTGACACCCGCCCTCTTTAATATACATGTGAATTGAAAATGGAAGAGCTCAGCTGTGCTTCTACTTTCGGTCGTTGACCAAATGACACACTCACTAGGGGTCTGTTCATCCACCTTCACTTCTAATAATCACTTCAACATACGGTGGAATAGAAGTAACTAAAAAAGTTCAACTGGGAAATAGTCAGCATCTTGAAAAAGCAAAGAAGAGCTGACCAACTCCAACGCCGCTCGAGGGGACTACCATTTTCTAAGCGTTGATTGAAAATCCTAGATTAATGAACTGAATGAAAGGCAAAAAAAAANAAAAAAAAACTTCTCAGTTATTCATTGAACTCCCTCACACAACTGTAAGAAGCCATTACACTTCTACCCACCCTTTCTTGATTCTGTGACGAGTCGCTTCATTTGGCGACCAAATTACTTATACTTTCACTGTTCTGTTTTCTAGGTACCAGTTGTTTGGAAAATTTCCCTATATGGAAATGCTGATGAAACTCGGTACTCTGTTCACCCTGGCACTCACGTTGGGGCTTCTAATTACTTGAGCTCCAATCGGAGGTGTGAGCACCAAAAACTTCTGGTACTCCACTAGTTTTTACCCTATGAACATACAACTCGGATACCAAATAAAAATAAAAATAAGTAAAAACTTTTGAAACTCTCCATCCGAAATCCTGGTTGGCTATTCAGCTCTAGCTCCTAGCCATGATTCCGTGTGCCATTACAATTACTCAGTGTGATCCTTCACTACTGCATCAGAATAAAAACAACTTCCAAAACTATCCGATAATATTGGAAAATGAAAACTCTAAAATCTGTGATATACCCTTGTCGCATTCTTCCCATTCTGCTTATTTGATGAATAGATTTTATCATACTCGACACATAGGTGGGCTCTGTAAGAATACAATGTTCTCTTGATTTTTACCAATCAATTCCCTTTCGCTGAACCCAGCTCTGATTTCCGTCACCTTCTGATCAAACTGGATGTTCTAGACATCATCGGTAGCATGTTGAGTAGGGCGGTGTATCTAGCAGTGACTCGAGCTTGTTCAGACTGACGGGATCGACGGCCACTCTGCTGCTCTTCCTTATCTCATCACCCCCCCCTCCCTCTCACCTACAGTTTCTGCTACCGCTTTTGCATTTTCAATGATTTTTTTTTACTTGTTTGCTATTACACCTACAAGGCAGGCTGTCAGTTAAGCAAAATATAGCGTAAAAGGGACTTTTCAATCAAGAATTATGAATTTGTTTATGAATTGTGTCTACAGAGCGGGATTCGTCTCCTAACGTTTTTTTCACCAGGTTAGTTATAAAAAATTGGCCGTAAAAAATATATATTTATGAACTGATCCTACGCTGATGTCCTTTTCACGTGGGAATTTCAACGTCAATGCGAGGGTGGAAACAATGAGCGGTAGTTGATTACAAACAAGCGGCTGACATAACAATCCAATTCAACTACGTTTGCAGACAAAACCTTTTGTACGTACCACAAGGTTGTTTTTGTCGGCAGTTTTTTGTTCTGGGAGGCTTTGAATACGGTAGAGGAGATCTAATCGCAAATGTTAGAGTGCTCTTTGCTAATTTGATTTGGGCTGAGCTTTCAAGTGTTTGTTTATTCACTCGTTTATTTATTTACTATCTTATTTATTTACTTAATGCTTGCATACATTGAGTTACTCCATCAGATTCTTGTTCTTCTAAAATCTTTATTCTTGATGATTATCAACCTTAAAGAATCAGATGGAGTAGTGTCCTCGGGTGCCACTACCAGGCGTACGGTCAAGGGAACAAGTCTGAGACTAATATCAGCCCAGGCCAACCCAGACCCATGTCCGCAGTGCAGATCACCCTAAAACAGACTGCTCGGGGAATGGCTCTTTCCTGGATTTTCTGCGACGATTCCGAATGGAAATAGTTTGGTTGAGGTGCAACCTAAAACAACATCGGACCACCCCAGAATCTTCTTCTTTTTTATTCATTCAATTTCTTGGCGATCATAGAGCCTTCCATTCTGATTCGATCCAATCCAAGGGGTACCTGTTTGTCATTCATATGTTGTATTATAAAACTTTTTAGGGACCGTGTCAGAGAACGAATACTGTTCAGGGACTCTATCACTCACAGTACGGACTGAGCACATTCAATCCCGATCCAGACTGCAAGAGGGGTCGCCTTTGTTCCGAGAACTTCCTGAACGGGGGCTCGAACCTGCACTTGTGTTTTTCGGTTACCCTGCCCTTTTTCAGCTGCACTATGTACTCATGATGAAGTTTAACTACGCTCTTGTCATACACCCTAGTGGTGATCGTAAAGCAGATGTAGATGACAACTTCGGGCTTCGTTAGGGAATTCTAATAAGAAATCAAAAGGGAGAATTCCGATCAATGATGGCCAAGATTAAGAACGGTTCTCAGTAATCCGGCTCATAGAAAGTGCAGTTGGCCATGGAATTCACTGAATCAGCTGATCTGATGACTAACCCACCAACACATTTTTATGGAGGTGTTAGTTCATTGTTTATGGGTCAGCCTGGAATTGNGGGCTCGAACCTGCACTTGTGTTTTTCGGTTACCCTGCCCTTTTTCAGCTGCACTATGTACTCATGATGAAGTTTTAACTACGTTCTTGTAACACACCCTAGTGGTGATCGTAAAGGGGATGTAGATGACAACTTCGGGCTTCGTTAGGGAATTCTAATAAGAAATCAAAAGGGAGAATTCCGATCAATGATGGCCAAGATTAAGAAGTTCTGCACCCGGTTCTCAGTAATCCGGCTAATAGAAAGTGCAGTTGGCCATGGAATTCACTGAATCAGCTGATCTGATGACTAACTCACCAATACATTTTTATGGAGGTGTTAATTCATTGTTTATGGGTCAGCCTGGAATTGGACTAGAGCATCTTTGGCACATCTCTTTGTCCAGCTCTATGGCCCATACATGACTCGTTGGAGCGCTCTCAAGCGATTAGAAATCGACATACACGAGAAAAATTAATCTAAAAAGCGTAAACGAACTGACATCTTGCCTGCTTTCCCTCTTGACGAATGCCCCGATCCTGCATAATCTCAATCTTCGTGGGTTGTGGTGGTCTAGAACTGGAAACATGCTTAGGAGTAGGATCTCAGACGGTATGTGACATGCCATCTACATGACATCCGGCTGATCCCAGATTCACTGCCAGATGATCATTGGTAGGTAAGGAGCTTGTGTTCAGCCCTTGAAAAATTTTTATGACTTGAGATAAATTTTACACGGTTCTCTCCGTAACTACCCTAAAATTCCATAGATAAGAGCGGGTGAACCTACCGGTGAAAAATGAATTGGAAAAAATCGAAATTGAATGCAGTCACCCTTCTAACTTGATGGATGGATAAATTAAAATTCGAAGAAGAAGTTAAGAAGAAGCTCCGCCCCTCAACTCCTAAACCCCGCCCACTTAATAAACATTTCATATAAAAAAATAGCGATTTTTACGGATCGCTGTTTTTCTATATGAATTGTTTATTAAGTGGGAGGGGTTTAGAGTTGAGGGGCGGAGCTTCTTCTTAACCTCTTCTTCGAAGTTCAATTTATCCATCCATCAAGTTAGAGGGGTGACTGCATTCAATTTCGATTTTTTCCAATTCATTTTTCACCGGTAGGTTCACCCGCTCTTATCTATGGAATTTTAGGGTAATTGCACTCTTTGAACCCACCATACAAAATTTTTATCGGATGTTATCATCATTAATCGAAAAAAATTTTTACGAGGTATAGTTAGCAGATCAGGTTCGCGATGAGTGTGCGCTGTTAGGTTCGGAAGAAGTGTTCCTCCTACTAGCTTCCACAAAAAAGCCCATGAAATTCATCGCGAGTCATCGCGTGCGGTAACGACAATCGCATTCGAACCTAATGGCACACATTCAAATTTCGTCGTAATCATTATTATAAACTTAAATGCATTTAATAATACACAGACAGCTCTGGAGCGAAGTGGAAGTAATATTGAACTGTACATAAAATATTCGGTCCAAAAGTACTGTTTATCGAATTCGTAGTCTCTTCGCAGTCGGCGCACCGCTAAGGTAGCCACCGGTCGCCATTGGAGCCTAAAAAGTGGAGTGGTCGTTCTCGTTGGATCTCCTTTTTGTATTTGAATCAGTAGAAGTACTACCTGATAGTTTGTCATTACTGGGGAAACGATCGAGTTGTCTTGAATGACAGGTGTAGGCATTGGAGGATTGTACTAAAATTTATGGAATTTGAAAAAACTAAAATTTCTGGAATTTGAAAAATGATTCATTGAACATTTCACTTTGAGTCAATGGAAAATTCATCGTACCTGCTGTGGCATGCTATATGAAGGCAATGGAGGTGACTGAGGTGGAGTTCGGCTGAAAATAATCTTTTTTCTCTGAGAGGGAGCTACAGATTTCATTTCTTCCTGAAAATGAGGCTATGCTATTCTCTGTTAAAATGGAGAAACGCTCACAGAATCTGAAAAGGTATTGAATTTCCATTGGGTTGAACCATCGTTCCAGAAATAAAACCAGACATTAGTGGTAGTTGACCAATGGCAGGGAAAGTCAGCAATCAAAATCTTTGTTGAAAAGCTTTTTATGCAAGCTGTAGTGGGGAGTAGAGAAAGCGTAAAAGTAAGCTTCTGTTGACCTCTCGAGAGTGAATCAGGAAAGCACACATTTCCCAAAAACACTGTGTCATTCCAGTTGTCGAGCACGACCCAGATCAGGTTCTCCCCCGGCTTCCCCACGGGTGTGGTGCGTTAGGAACGAAATGGTCGCGTCGCGGTGAGAGGAGCGTCGCGCGCGAAGGAATGTAGCAGGATGCAGCAGTAGGTAAGAAATACAAGAACAAAAGTACTAATAGTAGAATTATGCATAAAATAATGATCGCATATCGATTGAGCTGTATGAAGAATGCTAGAGCTGTAATAACGGCGAATGAGTGGTCCGCGATAGCCGCGTGCGGCGAATCGATTATCCAGAATCGTTCCTAACGCCCATCTCCCCTTCCCCACCCGCCAATACCGTGGCGATGAAATGTGCTGACTCGAACCCATATTTTTTACATTCACGCCCGGGTTTCGGAACATTTAGGATACTGTTTACAAACCGGGTATGCTAAGAAAACTCAGAAATAGGGACTTGCGAGCCCGTTCTCTGATATCAACTTACGGGGAGAATGGAACTTCTACATACTTCCGTGTTCCTGAATGCTCCACTACAACTTGCATAAGTTATTTCAAGAACGGTTATGTGGTTGATTAGCCTGTTGGGTTGTTTTTTGCTGTGATTACAAGTAACACTCTTTGCTGTTAGAACGTACAGTGGAGCTGCGAATGTCGGAGCAGCAATGAAAGGTTGCGGTGGAAGCGGAGCAGCCGTCATTGAAGCAGAAGGTGCGGTCGCATATCCACCAGGTTGAGTCATCTGTCTAAAGCTCGTGTTAGGCATATTAGTGCTCACAAGTTCTCGGAACAGACATGGCTTTGTGTTAATTGAACGCACATAGAAATTGATGGAGCTGGAGCAGTTGCAACTGCAGGAGATGAGGCCGTCATTGTCAGAGGCGATGAAACAGACACTTGTGGCTGGGTGGTAACTATTGTGGGTGATGATACACCAGAAGCAGGTGCCGTTTGGACATACCTCAAATATTTGACTTTCGAGGACCTCAATACTAAGTCTAATCCTACCTCTTGAAGAAAAAATCATGCTTGCTACAGAGATATTCAAAAACTTTTGAGGTGCAGCTTCCAGAGAAAAGTGTGNGGTTGAGTCATCTGTCTAAAGCTCGTGTTAGGCATATTAGTGCTCACAAGTTCTTCGAACAGACATAGCTTTGTGTTAATTGAACGCACATAGAAATTGATGGAGCTGGAGCAGTTGCAACTGCAGGAGATGAGGCCGTCATTGTCAGAGGCGATGAAACAGACATTTGTGGCTGAGTGGTAACTATTGTAGGTGATGATACACCAGAAGCAGGTGCCGTTTGGACATACCTCAAATATTTGACTTTCGAGGACCTCAATACTAAGTCTATTCCTATCTCTTGAAGAAAAAATCATGCTTGCTACAGAGATATTCAAAAACTTTTGAGGTGCAGCTTCCAGAGAAAAGTGTGCTTATCCAGATAAAAAAAGTCAAGCACCCGTGATTTGCTCGAATTTCCCCAGTAAACGAGAACACGTTTCCTCCCTAGTGAATTTTGACCACGCCCCTAAGAGTCTGCCCTATTGTGACAACGCTACCTTCAACTTCGTTACACGAGACCTCAGTTATTTCCCATATTAGTTACAAGTAATCACAACGACAATGGCTCGAGACAAACTTAATAACATGAGTTAAAGTAGTTAAAAAGCACGAGAGATCTTTAGCAGTTAAATCAGGCAAACTGAATATGGTGGGCAATGTCTGTTTGGTGTCCCTTCAGGAGGTTTCTATGATCACATTTGTCCCTGAAAGTCTCGATAACTGCTTTGCACCGCCACCTAGTGTAGATTTTATTATGCTTCTGAACAAGAACTCTACTCTACTTTCTACTAACTTCTACTATGCCTTACAGTGGTGGCGATTCCATTAGCTGAGCTGGAGTTTGTTGAAGGATTCTGAAAGATCTTACGTCATAAGTGTCTCGTTGCCTAGGGAGCTTTGGGCTCCTTAAAATAGAAAGGGTAGTGTTAAGCCATGTCGCTACTAAATGCATAGTGAGGAAAACAAGCCCTGGATAGGATAAGATCCAAGCTAATCTGACCTCCAGTATCTTAACTTTTCACTTTACGTTTGTGGCAAAGGTGTCTGGGCGGAACAATCTCAANATCGATAGCTACATATCAAGCAAGAAAAGTTCGATTTTGGCCCATTTGAAAAAGAAGGAGTTGCGCTTGAGAATGGGGTCAAGAGGTCAAGAGGATGGTAAGCTGATAAATAAAGTTTCCAAAAGTTTTTTGGCGTCAAGCAATCCCGCCTGAGGCATGCCCTACAATCGACTTCCTTACAGAATGCAGATAAATACTACGGGAACCAGAAAGGCCTGTTTCTCACTGTCCTCCTCACATCCGTCCTTCCCAGACCGGCTTCTCCCTGTATGTAGTTAGGTCAGTGGGCCGAAACTAGAAGAGATACCCAGAATATTTGCGATTCGAATATTCAAATTTTCCTTTGAATAACTCACATGCTGGGACGCACTGTTTCGACGGCAGCCGGCGGCTGTTGAATAATTCTAGAACGAAGCTTTCATTCGGTAGTTATCTCAAATAGAACGCTACTGCCTAAATTCGCCATGCACCATGCACTTGTACTAGGAATTGATAGCAATTGTGATACGATATTGTAGTTACCTACAGTGTNTCTATATAACTATTACATGTTCTCTAGCTATAGACTAGCGAAAAGCTTCAAGGGCAGCCAATAAGCTGAAGAACTGAAGTATAAATCTGCTCTTGGTAAAACTCTAACTCAATACGTGAATACATACATTGGTTGAGTATCAAATTCAGCGCTCGATTCCCGTATGATTCTGAATGAATTCTCTTTGTATGATATTTTATTTTATACACATATGTAAGTACTATGTTGATGTCAAGTGGGTCTCATGGGCACGGTAACTGGAATGTGCAAGTAATGGTCCGAGTCCCATTGTCTGCTTTCATAGTCCACGATTTAGCCCGCGAGCGACCGATCGAGCGAGTGATCGAGCGATTGGGCGGCGCCTGATCGCTCGATCGCTCGCTCGCTCGTTCGCGGGCCAAATCGTGGACTATGAGAGCAGTAGAACCCAGGAATCTCATAATGATTCATAGAAGATCGACTTTTATCGGTCCTAACAGATCTCCAGTTTGGTCTCATTAGGCCGAGTTACATAATTTGATACTACCAAGTAAAGAACGAGTCCAAGATGGTTATCTCATGCATTTCATTCGCAGGTTACAATAACACTTACACTTGTTGTGGGCGGACTGCAGGAGCAGGCTGGATCTCTTCAACATCACTGTAAAGCCACATAAAGCACATAACAATTTGTTAGTATAAACTTTTGACAGCAGTATAAATTGCGTTTCTGAGGAAAAGGACTCTCAAAAAAAGCGTAAGCTTAGATTAATACTGACTTATGATTAGTGATGCACAATTCGGACCAAAATCAAAATTGGTTACAAAATCACAAGAAGAAATCAGCAGAAAGGCTGAACCTGAGAAAGCTTCCCACAAAAACGTCAAACTGATTAGTCATCTTGGAAACAGAGAGCATTTGGGCGCGGTTTACGAGCCCAGCCTACATTTACTATTAGTTCTGCCCGCTATAGGACGCCATTGAGAAATAGCAGCCGCCCTAAAAATGACCATAACATGCCCAGTCAACTAGTCCTTTGAAGCCGACCTGGAGAGCCACCCTTGACAGGGGCAGACATCGTTCTGCAACCCTTATCTGTTTAACAAAAGCCTCACTTACTAGCTTTCCACAATAGGAATTGGGTCTCGTCGTGGAACTCGTGCATAGATTGGAATCTGAAAAAAGTAGGAAATAATTTTTTTCATTTGTGCCTTTTTTAACCCTTCAAATTCATTTCGATTACATATAAATCGAAAAAATTCGTAATATTCTATTTTCAAAGGGAGCTCTGGAGGCATGTCAGCCGTTGAGCCTTGGTTTCCAATGACATCCTTGTATAGCTATTTAGGATTGGTTTGTGGAAAAGCTTGATGTCACTGGTCGGTAGGGCGCTCAGGGGTGTTCCATGAGACCTTTCATCATGGTATCTGAAGTTGAAGAGAGGAAGGTGGAAAACCAGTTTAGGGCTGGTCTGGAAAGGTATCAGACCAGGTATCTGTCGAAGTAATGGTGCCCCACTTAGTAGTACATACACCATCTCCCTCGGCACGACGTTAAAGACATTGTTCACGATGATTTGAGGTACCCTTTTCAGGTGGAAAAGTTGTATGTTTATGTAGAGGAGTACATCGGTGGCGATTAAAGCGAGAAAATCCGACTACTTAAAGGTTTTTCAAAAGTAGTGGAAGTGGAGGTTGTACGAGATCACCGTGACGGTATTGGCATGTAAGGGGTGTCTGGACGAGATTTAACTTGCTCCCATTGCTCAAAGAGATGACTACATCAAGTCGAGTTTGAACTTCCTACATGGGAGTCTCTTGAAATAGTGTAGCCTCTACAAAGCCGTTGAACTCGTCCACGATGGGTGTGGCATTCAAACGATACAATCTCTAGCCCCTTATTGTGCCCTACCCATGAGGTTTTTCGACTTTATAACGGCAAGTATGTTATAAGGGGGG